CCCGATTGGTACATCCACGTCATTGTTAATGGATGCTCATCTCCGTGTCCTCTTCAGCCGTGCCATTTGCAAGAACACAATCCATTAATTTTTCTCCGCATCACTTTTTCTACTTGGTTATGTTAAAGGAATATTTAGTTGTCACACAATTATTGTACTAGTTTTTAATTTTTGGGTCTGCATTTCTTAATCTCGTTTGTTTCGTGACATTGGTGTAAACGCTGCATTTCGTTATTCTGATTGGCCAGTGCCCGTCACAGTAAATGGATGTTCTCTTTACGCTTGGAGACCCATGATGCTCTTTTTAAGGACATATGCAATTCACTCTTGAGTGCACGGTTGCTCATTTGCCCGTTACATTTGGTGTTTTTCTTTCGGTTGGCTGACCCAAGTGTAATTTAGTAGCTTCCCTTCATTTGGCCTTCGAAACTATATAAGCAAATGTGATTTCATGTATACAAGTCTCTTTCTGACTCGTCTTTGGACTTCTTCTTGCGGTCATGGGGCGAAGGCGACAGTGGCGATACAACAGACTTTCTGGCGACGGAGATTCCGATAAACATGTCGATTTCGTTCGAGCAAATGCCGACGCTTCTTCAACAGCAACAACTGCAGTTTGAAAAATCTCAACGAAAGTTGATCGAGTTGCTATCTCAGAAACTGAATGTACAGAGTGAATCCCCGACGACAACCGCACGGCCATCTGTGGACGCCCTTGCGGCTTCAACCATATAATTTGTTTTCGATGGATTGAACGGATTGACATTTGAATCCTAATTCCTAAAGTATGAAGATATTTTTGGAGTGGAACTTGCAGACTGAGACGATGCCTGGAAAGTTCGTTTGTTGTCGAGGAACCTTGGCGCAGTCGAGCATAAACACTACACAAAGTTCGTGTTGCCGAAGAATGCAGGAGACTTCAGCTTCGATGAGACGGTGAAAACGCTGATGCATATATTCGATGAGCAGGCCTCTCTGTTCAGTGTTCGCTACAATCGTTTGAAGTTAGTCAAACGCGGTGCCATTGATTTTGTCACACATACCGATGACTGTGGCCTACTTCAGCAAGATCTCAACCGCTTATCCACATGGTCTGCAGAAGTTCTTCTCCCGGTCAACCCAGCCAAGTCCGTATTTATGAGCCTGGGGAAGGGTGCTAACGGCCGAACCTACACTCTTGACGGCCAAACTCTATATCCCACACCCTCCGTGAAGGACCTAGGTGTACTCTCACGCTACGATTTGAAGTCCGTGGACAACACGAACAGGTTATATCGGAACGGACTGCTCATGCTTTGGGCGCTCAAACGTAGCTTCGGCACATGGTCTGAAGAGGTTGCCACTCGCCTGTTCTCTTCTATCATTAGACCAATGCTGGAGTACGGTTCGCCCGCCTACTTTCCGATTACCCGAGGCGAGGCACAAAAGATCGAACGGGTCCAACACGTTGCTACCAGGCTGATCCCGAGTTTACGTGGCTTTAGGTATGAAGACCGGTGCGAGAAACTAGGGCTCTACACTTTGTCCTACCGTCGGGTGCGAGTCGACCTGATTATGACCTACCGAATTCTACATATTGGTGAGTTCCCCATGCTAAGGCCAATACTGCACTTACGAAGTCCATGCAGCACACGCGGACACAGATACAAACTTGTCGTGCCGGACATGAAATGTGTTCCCCACCCACTGTGCTTCGAAAGGAGAGTGACAAACATTTGGAACAGTTTGCCGGAACATGTGATTGAGGCAACATCTGTGCAGCAGTTCAAAACGTTGTTAGATTTGTACTTTGCCTCTATTTGCTTCAGAGAACGACTGCACACTTACGATGACATATCACATTTGTGAATCCTGAAATATCGTAAGTCGAATATTTTAAATATTACATGAGAACGACAATAATAATCAAGGTTGACAACTTTTATAACGTTTTCCGCCATATTTTGAAAGCGTTGTACAGAATCCATTTCTACTTGCTCTATAATACAATATTCAGTATACCGGGATCGTAAATCGCGAATATGAATGATTCAAACTGGGTATGATGACACTTGATGGAACAACGGTCCCCTTGATAGCGTTTGGACAGATTTTGTTGAAAGTCTCAGCGACTTGGTCAACCAAGCATCGGCGACCAAGCCCCTTCGTTCCGCGAAAACGCCTTCATTTCTAAGGAGTAGGATTTGAAAATGCATAGTTTTAAGGGATGCAGCATGGCGTGCCTACAAGGGTAACCCCGATTCAGAGACTTGAGGCAATTTCCTGACCCATCGCAACCATTGCACTACACTTATTCTTGGGGACAAAATGCCTAGCTAAATGGTTTCTGGAAAACAACAAGCTGCTGTACAGGCATGTCAACAGTCTTTGTAAAGTAAAACATGGAATCCCTCCACTTTTCACAACAGGTGGTAGAGTACAAAGCGCCGAAGAAGCAGCTAATTCCCTGCGGTTATAAAATGCCCCAAATTTCAAACTTGCAGCCTCTACCTGTCCCATAAAGTCAAGCAGATTACCGACTCCATGGTTTATACATGTAATTTTCAACCCGGTAATTATGGTTAGGAAGTTACTCTCATTGCGAGCTCATAACTCTCCGGGAGCAGACAACATCCGCCCAAAACCCTGAAGGCCGTGGCCACCAAGCTGGCTGAGCCACTGTCACAGTTCTTCCAAAGGTGCTTCGATGAACAGCAAGTCCCACTGTGTGTTAGGTGGCATGATAACCCTAATTTTTAAAGGCGGTACCTGTTCAGATCCTGCAAACTATCACCCAATGACTCTCCTCTCTGTGCTCGCGGAGATGATGGAAGCGGTCGTCGCTGAGACTTTAACGGACCGCCTGGACAACTGTAACATATTGGCACCAGTGCAGCATGACTTCCGTCGACACCAGTCATGCACCACCAACCTGGTAATATCACAAGGTAGTTGGAGGGAAGTGGTTGATGGCAGTGTCGGTGTTAACGTCATCACTCTGGACTTCTCCAAAGCTTTCGACCGCCTGGATCACCGCATCCTACTTCACAGGCTACTGAGCTACGGAATCGAAGCTCCTGTTCTTGGTTGGATTGGCAACTTCCTCCACCAACAGAGTCTTCCAGTACGTGTTAGGGGATCACCCTTTAAGCCGACTGAAGTGGAATGTGGTGCCCCTTGTATTTACCAACGACCTGAAAAGAGTTATCTTCTCAAATTTTCTGCTTTTCGCCTATAATATCAGGATATGGCGGGCGATTAATAACAAAGAAGATCATGATCTACTTCAACATGACTCAGATTGCATGTATGAATGGTCAACGAGGAACCTACTCCAATTGAACACAGCTAAGTGCAAGGTGATCCATCTACATCCCCAGTCAGCAAGCGTGTGCAAAGCTTAAACGCAACACCTTGCAGGAGGCCTCTTAAAAGCTTGGGTGTATGCATACAGGAAGATCTCGAATGTTCAAAACGAGGATTAGGGGCGTCAAAAACCTGCAAGCAAGATTTTGGCCTTCTTCGAGGAGCGTTCAGTCGGTGTCAACCCTCAGTCTTCCTCCAACTGCTTAACGTTTACTTGCTACCGCACGTGGAATACACCATCCAAGCGTGGAACCCGTGGCAGAAACAGGATTTTCTTGCTCTCGAGACTCCTCATCAAAGGACAAACAAGAACCTCAGCGGTTTCTTTCATTTGTCTTAGCAGCTTTAACTGATCTATAAGAATTTACAGTAGTCGATGTCGCTGTTTGCCGGGGGATTTTATAATGGTTTATCGGATTCTGAAGAACCCAAACCATATCTGAAGCCCGCTGTTGGAAACGAAACAACAGCACTAACCTAGGAGGTCATCATTGGAAGCTGACAAAGCAGTATAGCCAGCTTGATTACCGTAGAAATTTCTTTTCCTTCCGCGTGTGTCAGCCTTGGAACGCCATCCCAAATTATGTCAGCTCTGCCCCCAATCTATCGTTATGTAAGAAGCGAGTTGATGAAGCGCTGTCTTATCTGCCTCTCATATTACGACTTGTTGGCCAGGGGGTTACAAAACGCAATCAAACAATGTGGTACCGAACTACCAATCAATGGACTTGTGGATTTTTACTTTTTGTAAGCCAATATCTCCGCTCTTCTACATATGTCTATGGTGAGTTCATTAAAATTCTTTTCACTTCAAGAGTTTTTCTTTTCGAGATAAGTTTCATCCCACGGAACTTGTTAAGCGTTGCTTTTTTACCCGTTATACATCATTGTTCCATGGTTTCATCTGAGTCAGTGGAACTAAGGATACCGGACACCGACACATTGGTTTCCTGTGGGGTACGCTGTGGTCGTTTGGCTCATCCATCATCCCACCGATATTTCACGCCTAAGTAAGGTCTATCTGCTCAATGGCATCACGGCCTGATATCTCCAGCAAAATTGTCATCCCAGAATGATTGAGGTTCCACAGCAGAGGATAAATAAAAATTCTCCACTTGTTCCGCTTCGGTTGTCCCTACTTTCATGAAGGTAAACACCGCATCAGCACGTCTGTGTTATCAGTATGAAGAAGACGACTGGATGACTTAAACTGTTTACTGCACGTGGCGTGCCTCGTGTTCATCGGCCAATGAGGTAACATGAGCACACTGTGCTCACCGGTTTTCTTTAAGAATTGGAAGCGGGCGGATTTACGCCCGTCTTTTAAGTGAAACTTGTGTCCACCCATGTACACATCACACAACTACACCTAAATGTCCGATATTTCCGCACTTATCACTCCAACTTACTGGGGCAGTCACACTTACGTTTTTTATTACTAACTAACCTTTGTTCTATTTTTTCAGCTCTTAACTCCCAACTTCTCCTTTTTGCGTGAGAGTTACGAATTGAAAGCATATGGCATACTCCAGGAGGTTTCAGGCGGCACACATAATTTTCGGTTGTGATAACTTACCATTTCGATATTCTCCGTCGTGTCTACGACGCCAACTATGGCTGTTTAATAGTATTCACACCGGCTTTTTTTCCTCCAGGCTTCCACGTCTTGGACTTGTCCACATTGCTGTGCAGCTACAGAGGCGAGAGGTACCATGGAATTGCAAACACCAATTACAAACTTTGCTCCCCACTGCGACAGCAGTTTTTACGCGCTACGGGACACAGCAGAAGTACAAGCACCAACTGCTAATATTGCGTTTCAACCACAGGCCTCGACATCAACTGATGACTGTACGGTTCAAGATGTTCGACACATCCTCCTAGGATATCCAGCTGAGTGTCATGGAGAGACTGCTGGCGCAGCATCCCATAGCGTCACCCACCGGGTTTATTCCGGTGTGTCTCCCTATAATGGGCAAAGAAACCCGTTAAACATGAAGTCCCCAGACGGATCTCTGACTGAAGGATCACGACAACAGACAGCATTCCATGTGAGTCCAACTCTATTTTAACTGTTTATTGTGCGGCTACCAAATATGGGCCCCGTACTTTTTTCGTTCAAGCTATATTGTCAACTTTTACTCCCATGCCAAATTCCGGTTCAGTGTCCATTGAGTAGTGCATAATTCTTCGTTCAAAGATTTCTCTGTATCCCAGTTTTATTTGCTAGTACATGGCTTCAAATACCGTAGATTTTATGCGGACACCTTGAAAATTCGTGAATTATATGGGAGTACCTTACTCATTCAAATTTTCTCAGGTCATAGTTTTCGATATCCCACACACAACCTTTACACGTGCAGTGGGATGCGTTGATTCTAGCCATTGACAGTTACCGTCTAATTTGTGAACTAACTTGGCCGACTTGCATGTATGCGGAATCAATGGGTTCCCACCGTGACTGTTACATAAAACGGAGTACAGTGTGTGATGCCTACATCAGATAGATAAGAATGGACAGTTGAAATCATGTGTCTCCATTTAAATTGGTCCCCTAACCGTCGCTTCAGTATTTACTGACAGCAGCTTATCCGACAAAGTTAAAAAGTGAAACTGGGCTGTAGTCGCTAAAGTCACACAACACAGCGGATATCTCAATCGCAAAGAAATTTAGATCAAGTTGAAAACATTATATAAAGCTACGTTAAGTGCAACTAGATATTGCACTTTATAAGCCTGGTCTCCCGCACTGTTTGATTCCCAGGAAAACAGGATCAAAATTGGACGTAGCTGAAAAAATAAACGTAGTTCTACAAACGTAATGTTATATACACTTAAATGACGTACAACTGGGTTTGTAGACGTAGCCTTAACCTTGTTCAGCAGTGGACCAAAATAATCCCCGCAATCTGTATTCCGCTCAGCGGTGAACTTGGGTCAATTAGTGAATTTGGGACAGCGACGAAAAGGACTGCAACAGCCCGCACATCAACGGTGAAGCATGTGATATTGATTTACTAAGATGGTCAGGTAGTTAAGGTTAGGTTAGTATCCAGCGACGACACATGCCTCCAGCTAACGGGCGCTCTGTTTCTTGTACCGGTAAGCAAACCATGGATTTCTTAGCGCTGTGTCCGGTTTTCTTCTTAGTACAACTGTAACTTCCTCAGATTTCCATCGTCATTGATGGCGCTAGATTTGTTCGTAGACTATGCAAATTCATAATCTATAAGCGAACCAGAGTCCCCGGCACTCCGACGTGCGATCGCCTCCCCTTGAAGGGAAGCAAGAGCGAGAGCAATCTTTGCATTTTCTTGTATCATCATCAAATATCACTACACGAGGCATCGCTTTTAACCTTTAATAAATTACATCAGTTTTGAAAAATTAAATGACCAACACTTAGCTAGGCCACTTCTGCAGGCTACTACCTTTTTGTAGTGTACTGACTCAGGAGACGGTTTATTACAGCTACATACCACCATAAATATCCAATCTAGCTCTCTGTTATTATCTTCAAATGATGTCCGCGCAAGTGATCGGAAGCAGCTAGCTCAACCAAATCAGTAGGCTTGATGCCACTGAGGCGTTCTGTCATCTTAAACGCCTCCGTCAGATAGCCTGTAACTCTACGCCGCTCCAGGAAAACAAAAACCCCAAGCTCTTTAGGCGGTCTTTGTACGACTTCACATGTTGATTTGTAATCATGCTGGTTGACATTTTGTTGAATCTTGTCCATGCAAATACTATCACCATGGAGATACGGCGACGAAGCTTGGACACAGTATACCAGATGTAGCCTAAGCGCCTGGAAGATGTGCTGGGCTATATCATAGTCAATTGTCAATCACACAGTTCTTCGGCTGTCACCTATTGCGAACTGGCACTAGATGCTGGCGTCCAGAAATCACGGTGGCGGAATTCGGCAGGAGTCCACTCACAGGCGCACCACTGACGAGACCCAGAATGTCGAAATACTGGCGTCTGATGCTTTTACAGGCTATCCTAAGCCTGCTGATGGAGACTGACTGACGAATTAGCTGAAGTATACCAAAAATCCCCACAGCTCAAGTAATACGTAAATAAACTTTTTATTTCTGTCAACGCGAGGCACATCTTTACTTGCGTGCTCATTTTGGGATAGGAAAGTTTGATCAATAAGGTACAATAATAGTTTTTTTTCTGTATCAGTGAATGGATATTTATGGATGTATCCACGTACGTAATTGCGTATGTGTGTAGCTGCGCAACATATGCTTGTAAGTGTGTCGCCGCATTTTTGACTGTTTGATGTCGGCTATCTAACCTTTTACGAGTAAGTCTGGGAATGCCAGATATCGCGGTGAATTCTTTATCGAACGCAATTTCTCGGCCTTGAAAATTGCAAACAAAACAACAAAGTTGAGATCATGAGTGTAAATACGGGGCATGCTGAAACAGCTTGGGTTTCAAGCATCGCGATCTCTATGGAACAATCCTTTGAAAATGCGTCTATTTGTGGCGAGAAGTGAATCCGATTCGAATGAGTGCATGATGACTGCGCTGGGTGAAACTGAAACGGATAAAGTCAGCGACAGAGTAGAGCACATTAACTACACAACCGTTTCAGGGTTACTTACCAGTATATCGATAACGTGAAAACCCAGCTGATTTCTTCCTGGGTCAAGTGTTTGTTTTCTTTTTTGGCTTGAAAACTGCCCCGCGAATCGGTTTATTGCGCTTATCTGAGGCGCTTTGGTAGCCGTATAGGGATATGCGATTAAGTCTCCTGTACCTATATCACGAGAAGTGGGGCGCAAACGTGGCTACCATGTCATTTTATCACTCAAACTTTACTACTGGAATAAGCAGTAATGTCTCAGTTGGCGATGATTCTTGGGTGTGGTCTCTACCGTGTAAGGAACTGAAAACATGTTCTTATGTAGTCAAGTTTGGCCTTTTTAAATGTGCTGCTCCACAATCTGACTCAGACTGCCACATGATTCTTGGGACACCTTTTGGTTTGTTGAGAAATAGAGTGCTGCTGCGCAACATTGCATATGTGCTGATAATACCACCTCAGTAGGGCTGATGAAAGCCAGATTCAACGGATGCAGGATCTTTGGTGCAGTACATTTATACCCACCGAAATCGAGTGAATCAAGGAACGTTATTAAGTTTCTTACCTTTTCCATTTATAGCTAACCCTTCGCCGACATGAATTTTTAGCCCATACATCGAGCTTCGCTGGATAGAGATCTGGCAGGGAGTGATGAATTGGGCGATCGAGGAACTGGGTACTGATTCTACACTGAAAAACGCACTTGACGCGCGTGCTCCTGCGTCATTTGGATTACGCCACTCTATATTCTCGTAGCGTAGTCACCATACGCTCATTCGAACTGGATTTACGAGCTCGACACAGTGATCCATGATACGTGAAATTAGCCTTTACGCTTAAAATGTTCTCAATCACTCATTGTGTTAACTGGCATCCGTGAGTAAGCACAATCGAAAAACACAATCATTTTGAGCCGACTGTCCTTCTGTGTAACACTATTAAAGGCAGAATTCTCGAGGCAGCCCAGGTAACCCAAGTATATTCCAATCCGTTGTTTCTCAACATGGCTGTGAAGGAATTTGTGATCTCTTAGTCTGTGTTCGGCGTTGCGTCCGGTTTCATTACATAGGTCCCAAACTAATCGGACCTACCATCGGTCTATAAACCGACCAACACTGAAGCGTGTGTTTACAACCGATCGTTGTTGACAAGAAGCGCACACACAAGCTGATTCATGCTCACTTTCAACGGGGAAAACTGCCCTCAATAAGCATCCGACAAACACGTGACCTTAAAATTGAATGCCCTCTGAGAACATGTCTCAGATTAAGTGTGCATTCCGTGTTAGTGGTGAAGACTGAGCTAGTGTGCTCCGGTTGCTCGAGATCATATCATACTAAGTGGCTTGGGCTGAATCCGATAGAAACAATACGGTAAGACAGAGGCGTTTCGGTTCTGCCAAGTACGCAGCGCTATCCCAGTTGTCTAGCTGTGCTACAGAGAGTGTGAAACATCAGCGGAAACGGCCGTGCGATTGGTGAGCGACAAGATGACATCTGTGGAAGGAAAAGAACTTGCAAATGGTCGTGAAGCATAGCACTCCAGCGAGCACTGCCAGCGAGTACAAACCACAGACCGGCGCTAAACCACCCAGCCGCCTGGAACCTAGCAAGACAATACGGAAGACGCATGGTCAAACTTATGATAACGGATGCCCACAACCGCTTACACAAATATGAGAAAGTCATATTCGACAATAGAACCAATTGCCTCAGTACAATTGACCCACAGCAACGAACAGCGCTGGAATCCGCAATTGAACGTCGAGTCAAAAGCACAAAGAACCGACGCAAGATTGCATTGAACGCAAAGTTAGAGAAACTGACTAAGAGAAATGACTGCACTAGTAGTGAAGGATGGATCAGAAACCTTTCACGCCGTCAACTCACTGCAACTGAAGAGGATGTCTTGATTAAGGGGTTGAACTTCAACGTCAAAGATGCTTGCCCCAAAGACTACTTGGCTAGCTTAGAACACGCATTGAAATCAAATGGACTGTCGGAAGAGTCCCAGCAACAGATACGGCCGATAGTGGTCCCAGTGCTAACTCGGAATAAGGTCACCCAGACCCTACCCAAGGAGGAACATGATGCACTTAGACACTTACAGAAAGATGAGAACATTGTAATTCTACCAGCGGATAAAGGGCGCATGACAGTGATATTGGACAAACCAGAGTATATTAAAAAGGCCAAAGAACTGTTATCCGACACAACTACATATCGGCAGATCGATCAAGACCCAAGTTCAAAACTGGTCAACCAGATCAACGCAACGCTAAAGAAACTACAAACAAAGAACGAGCTCACCGCCACGGAGAGATGGAGAATGAAAGCTGATGATACGAATATTGCACCGTTCTATGGACTACCAAAAATACACAAGGATGGAGTCCCACTACGACCAATCGTCTCGCTCCCCGGAACCCCATCATATAAACTAGCGAAGGAG